TGACGGAAGTCTCGTCCGTAGATGGTGCAGATGACGCGTGCTGTTGACCGGGACGTGAGAACGAGGTCTCTGATGTATCTAGCGTGGGATCCGAGGTAGACGTAGAGATCCTGCTGGAAGGTTTGATAGGTCTAGCATTGAGTCTCAAGTTATCGGGTAGGGCACTGTCATCGACGTGTGCTGGTTTGAGACGATCAATGCTGACGATCTCGACGCGGCCGTGTCGATCAACCTTGAAGGTCTTTTCGTGACGAGAGATCACGTGAAAAGGGCCTTCGTAAGGCTGTTGCAATGGTTTGCGTACCGAATCTACTCGTATGAAAACATGTGAACAGGTAGATAACTCTCGAGGGAGAGCGACCTGCCGATGCTGTATTCGAGTTGACACCGGAGACAGCGTTCGCATAAATGCAGACAGTCGATGGACGTAGTCTGATTTACCGAAATCATTACTGCTCCGTGGTGTGAAGAATTCCCCAGGCAGACGCAATGTCGTGCCGTATGCAAGTTCAGCGGCGGAACATTGGATATCTGCCTTCAAACTCGTTCTGATGCCTAAGAGAACGAGCGGTAAGGTTTCGTACCAATTGTCGTTTTCGTGTGCTCGAAGAGCACTTTTAAGTTGGCGATGAAACCTTTCGACTAAACCATTCGATGCTGGATGGTAGGCGGTAGTGCGTATGCGTTCCGTACCAAGCAGCCGGGTCAGTGAGGAGAATAATGCGGACTCAAATTGTTGTCCTCGGTCAGTCGTGACAGTCGAGGGACAACCGTACAATGCTATCCATCGTTCTACGAAGCGGTGAGCAATTGTCTCCGCCGTGATAGACGTGATGGGAATAGCTTCGCGCCATCTTGTGAAACGGTCAATGCACGTGAGTATGTGATCATACCCATGCGATGGTGGCAATGGTCCTACAATGTCTATATGAACGTGATCAAAGCGAGCATCAGGCGTAGCGAACGTGCCAATGGGGGCAGCTACGTGCCTGTGCACTTTTGATCGTTGACACTGTAAGCATTGCTTTACCCACATACGAACATCTTTATTCATGGACGGCCAGACGTATCGTGCAGCGATGAGGCGTAATGTGGCTGCGATACCTGGATGAGATAATCCATGAAGGGCATCGAAGACGAGACGGCGATAGTTAGAGGGTACGATGGGTCGAGGAAGACTGGTAGAAATATCACATAGGATAGTACCTGAGCTAGTAGCTAGGGGTACTTCCTGACACTGAAGGGACGAAGATTGTGGTGCTTCTGTACAGACAGGATCGTTTGCTTGCGCGGCGGCCATAGCAGGAAGATCGAGCACCAGTAAGGTAACTGCATTCGTCTGGATACGTGAAAGAGCATCGGCAACATAGTTCGACTCGCCTTTAATGTGACGAAGGTCTGTCGTGAACTGTGAGATATAGTCTAAATGTCTGCACTCTCGTGGTGAGTAGCGGTCAGACTTGGTATGCAGGGCATACGTTAAGGGCTTATGGTCGGTAAATAAGATGAATTGACGTCCTTCTACTGCGTGCCGGAAATGTTTGATGGCGCAGTAGGCTGCAAGCAGCTCGCGACCAAAAGCGCTATATCTCGTCTCCGTGGGAGTAAGGCGTCGTGAGAAAAATTCAAGCGGTTGCCAACTACCGGAGATATTCTGTTGCATAACGGCTCCTATAGCAAAATCCGATGCATCAACCGCTATACTAAGCGTGGCTGATGGGTCAGGATGAGCGAGAAGTGTAACTTCAGCGAGAGCCGTTTTGATCTCTGAGAATGCAGTACGTGCGGTATCGTTCAATTCTAATTTGCGTGGATTACCGCGTAGTAAATCGGTTAATGGTCGTAACCGTTCTGCCGCGTGAGGGATGAAACGTCGGTAGAAGTTAACCAAACCGAGAAAAGCCTTCAGTTCCTTGATTGAGGACGGCACGTTGTACTCCTTGATTGCTCGAATTTTGTCCTCGCAAGGCAGAATACCCTCTCGTCTGATGATGTGACCCAGAAATATTATTTCTGATTTACCCAACTCACATTTCTCTGGGTTGACTACTATTCCATTATCCGAAAGACGTTGGAATAATAGCGTAAGGTGTTGATAATGTTCATCTACGTTTGATGATGCGATCAGCAGGTCATCAATATAGACGTGAACAAAATCCAAGTCTCATACTATGCTATCGATAAACCTTTGGAAAGTTTGAGCAGCATTCCGTAATCCAAATGGCATTCGTAGGAACTCAAACAGACCGAAAGGAGTCGTGATAGCAGTTTTCTCGATGTCTTCAAGAGCGACTGGGATCTGGTGATATGCTCGTACCAGATCGATCTTAGAAAAGATAGTCGTGCCCTTGAGCGATGCCGTGATGTCGTGTATGTGGGGGATGGGGTAGCTATTAAAGCGCGTAACTACGTTTAATGCTCGGTAGTCGCCGCAAGGTCTCCAACTAACCCCATCCTTTTTGCGCACCATGTGTAAAGGAGAGGCCCAAGGACTGTGAGAAGGACGAATAATACCAGCGGATAGTAAATTGTCAAACTCACGTTTAGCGAAGGCTAATTTGTCCGATGCCAGTCGGCGTGGTCTTGCCGTGACTGGTGGTCCGCGGGTGACTATGTGGTGTACCACACGATTGGTCACCGATGAAATCTCCTCGAGTGGTTTAGTTATTCTGGGGAATTTCTCGAATAAGGCGTGGAATTTATCGTCACGCGAAATAAAAGTGCCGAGGATTCGGTACGCGTACATCGGAGTCTATTATATTAATACTATTCTTATCGTTATCCGTCATGTCAAATATATATATTAAAAATTAATATGAAAATATATGACAGACGTGGATAGATAAAACAATAGACTCACCGAATTGCCTTCTTTGGAAGATTTGACCGAGGTTGAGGCGTGTTCCAATATTTGGCTCACCAAATGTAGCGTGGTGCCGAGTTGAGCTTGACTATGAACACCGCTACAAGACTACGTGCCAATTAACCAATAAGATCCCCGTAGGTCAACATCAGAAGACAGATGATGGCTGTAGTCGAGATGTATTTGTTGGCGATCTCGTGGTATCGAAAGAATACCGAGATCGTGCCAAAGGAGTACAAGCGTGGTTACTGAGCGTAACCGGATTCGTACAAGGTCGAAGTCAACCGGAGAGTAAGTATAATGGCTGTCATTAGCACAGTTAAACAAACGAGCACAGTAAAACAGTCACTGGTACAATTGGTTATAATAATAATTGTTTTCATCGATCCAATCGCGTTCTGTTGACAAAAGTAGGTCACTACAATATACTACAACTAATTCAATATCTTGCCATCTACATTTCAGTCTACATCGCACCAATTCACATGATCCTGAAGCATGTGCTACTGTCTCAGCTACTCTTATGGTTAGGGTACTTTTCGTGTACAGGATAACCCAGCCTCCTCTACGATATGATCTATCAGCCCTACTGGAGAAAAAACCAGACAAGTGAATTTCATTATCTAATACTTCCGGCGTTAACTAAGTTTCTGAGACAACAATAACATCTGGTTTCTCTTTGACTTAAGCTCCGCCATTTTATATAGTAGGCTGCGAGCATTTGTGTAGCATACCTTTAAGTCTGTGAAGAACTTTGCCTTACCACCCAGAGTGGTTTGGGGATCGTTTCGCTCCGAACTTTTACAATTTAAAAACCCTTAAGAATGAGGTTTCTTTCGCAGCTTCGGCGACTCTCATTTATTTCTACTTCTGCAGCTCGTCTCTTAATACGATCGGCAAGGCTGAGATCCTCACGGACTTGAGGACGTGAGTTACCTAAAATCAGGTTCCTTTCTTCAACCGTGGCAAATGTAACCTTCAAGAAGCGGTTTTTCTGAGGGCTTTAAGGATCCACCTTTCGTCCTATTCCATAAAGCTTACAAATGCTAACTCCTGAAACGGTATCTGGGGGTAGTTTGCTTATTAAGGACTTAATGTGACTGAAGTCGTGTTCAAATCTAGCCTTTGGTTCCTTATCGGAAGATTCTCTTAACTTGTGAAAAATGACTGACCTCTCAGAGAGATCTGTCTTGACACTCAGTGGAATTTTTGTTTCTGATACCTTCTCTTCCAAGGACTTGCTAACCAGCTGCGGTTTGCCTACAGCTTTTTTCTTCTCATTTCTTTTCCTCCGTGCTGAAGTCCATTTATCCTCACTCAGGACAGCCACACTGGGACTATTTGAAACGATGACAGTGTTATCCGGGTCTTCGATTTCTACTAAAGGTGTATGGTTTCCAATGTAATATCAAGGGTCACTTCACTTCTCGTTAACGTTAACGGTGTTTTTACTTTTCCATCAATCACAATCGGGTGTTTAACGGGTCCGGTAGCAACGCTTACTACACTGACACATTCTTCACTGTCAGTGATCATGGTGTCAGGACAACCGCCATCGTTTTCCTTACAGGCTAAAGCCAATAGTCTCATAGCCTCCTGGATTAGTAACTTTTTATTTGTACAGCAAAACATACAAAGCCAATGCGAGTTTGGCTTCGAGCATCTTTTGTATGCCGTAGGACTTAGACGTGTACAAATCTTATGGTACCACTTTTTACATTCACCTCACTGCATTCCTTCCTCAACGGTGAACAAGCAGTTTGGTTGTCGACATTTATAAGTCCTACTAACCATTGTAATTTGATTTTAAACGTTTAAAACACACTATGAGTAAGCAAGAAAGGTACCACAGGACGAAGTTTAAAGAAAATTTCAAACCCTAACCAAAGTACTTTTAGTTAAAGTAGACCAAGAATGGTTTCTGTTGCAACTAGTACACAAAGCAATGATAATCAAAACCAATACAAAACAGGATAGGGAGAAATATATCTGAATATACTAGCCAATTGAAAAATGTGATGCTTTGTAGGTGTCAAGTACGATGAAAACACTACACTAGCGACTGCTGTCTTGGTGGATAAAAATGTTTTGTTTAAATCTGTCAAGACGAAATTCATATTCATCATAAGGCGCTAGCTACTTTCTGTACCTTTCACACGGGTAATTTTATCCCTTTTTTCTTTCCCCTCTAATCGTTTGTATGGTTGCACTGAGAAATGTTTGTTTCCCACAAAATTTACTAATCCAGAAGCTATCTATCGATTGGTAAAGCAATGTTGATTGTGGGTTTCTGTAGGTATTAGTCGAGAATTTCGTAAGCATGTCTTGTGTATTATGTTACACATGTCTTATCAGCTGCAGACAAAAACTACGCTTATACACAGACACAGTGTCATCATTATCGAAAATAAGCTTGTCGTTTTAATCAATTAAACTCAATATTATCATTGACAAGGAAATATAGGTAAAGTTTTGTCTCGTAATCATCCAGTCGCTCTATGCATAATCTATAACTGCTGCACAAGTCTACTTGCTGAGTGAGTCATCCGTTCATCCAGTGTACTTAGAGGAAGTTGGAGGTCCGTATTTGTCTTCCGCTTTCGACTGCACGATAAGTATTGGTAAGCCATGATCGTGTTTTTCTGATGCGGCAGTCAGATTCAATAAAGATTTTCCATAATCCCTATTGTACGGTCTTGCACCTTTGTTCAAGAGCATCATTCATCTCATGCGAACCGTAGACTATCAGATATAATTTCGACTGAAGTATCAGTTTTATTGGTTTAGATACCCAATTTGTTGATAGACAACAGCCGAAAATTTATGGACACCATTTATGATCGTGTTTCTGCGCTAATTGTCCCTTGCGCTTGACCCATGTATTTTTTTTGTCACTGTAGCTACGCAGAATGCCACGCCGTTCCAACGCTAATTCGGACGAAAGTCCAGTGACCAGACGTACTAGTGCTCGAATTGCTGCTGCTCAGGCAGCGTCCCCTGCCAAGTCTCCAGCCAAATCTCCCCGTCGTAAAGTAAGTTGACATCTTGCTTGACACTTCCAGCGGCAGTCTACTGAACCAGCTAAAACGGTTTCTGACGACACTGAGTCACAACAGTCACAAGTCAAGAGTGAGAGTAGTATGGAGGAGCTGAATGGTATCGATACCAGTTCTGTAAAGGATACTGAGCTAACTCATGATCTAGTGGAAATACCTCATAAAAAAACCAAGGTTGATAAAGAATCAGACGATGGTAATAAACTTCTTTCTATACAACTCTCAGTAGATCATTTGTGTTCCGATCACGAGAAGACTGAAGTTGAGCTACTGAAGGGGAATGACACGGTCGTAAATCAAACTCAAGATTTAAACACAACCTCTACCGACTTCGAAGTCGTCGAACATAGTTCAGTACCACCACCTGACAGTGCCGAGGTCCAAGCAGCCATCTCGGCGCAAGGTGAGGACGGTCAGTTATTGGTTGGATTTGTGCAAGTGAATAAGGATGAGTTACCGCCCCCTAATAGTTTGGAAACAAAACAAGTTTCAGCCACTTTGGAGTCATGTAATGAAACAGTGACATGTGGCTCAGAAAGTGTTAAAAGGACGGATCCTAATGTAGAACCGTGTGTGAATAACCTAAATGGCAATTTTGGGTCCCAAGAGTCTAGTAAAGGTAATTCTTATTTTTCAACGGTTTTAAAATTCAGATGAACCTTCGAAACCCAATGGCACCGTACATGTTGAAGCTCACCACAAAACTCCCGTTCCTATTGAAGAACCAGTTATCCAACCACTTGTTGCTCCTGTCACTGGAGATATTGTTCTCGATGCTGTACCCGAAGTGGTTTCTCAGCAGTAATTCATCTTGATTCCTCATTTATCAAATACTTGTCACTTCGCAAGCATCATAAACTGACTGATTAGTTTTTCGTTGCAAATACTGTTAATTTGGCAGCCCGGTCGTTAAGAACTGGTTTTGTTTAATTGTATGTTCATCTATGGGTACAGAACTTTTATAAAACTAACGAGTCAGTTATATTGACCCTCATTCACTGAACTCTACACCACACGTTTCTATCCATTCCCCGTGTAGGTCACTGATCCTTCAGTATAAACATTGTGTCTGATGATATTTATACACAAGTTTTTCCGATATTTTGCTTCGTTTTGTTTGTTTCATTCCTTCATGTAAACGCTTACTTCATGAAATTCACAGTGTTGATATTCATCACATACTCATATACGCTTGCGAGATTTTCTATTCTACTCATCATTGTATGTTCGTTTTTAACCTATTTCCATAGTTCCATGTTTTATAGTCACTAAGCAATAGTTATTGCGTTGCCTGTATTATCACACTCCATTTGCATTTGGTTGTTTATAAAAATTAAAATTCATGTTTAATACTTGATCAGTGTGTTTTCAAACCCGATATATTATCCCATTGTCTTAGTATTTTTAATTTGCTGCTCTCAAATTTCGACTGCGATAAGTTGCTTTAAATTCTTAGTCTGTTTCAGTTTATTAGTCAAATCGCTACCAATTAAATGCACTTAGTGTTTACCTTATTTGCTAGAACTTGTACACGTGTATGTTCTTAGACCTCCTTAGTAGCTCGACTAATTTCTTTTAAAAATAGATAACCTTTGCTACTTCGGTGATAATTGAGTTGATTGTGTGTTTTTAGTAATAGGATGCATCAAAATCAGATAAAGCGTCAACGTACTTGTGACAGTTACTTCGATATAGTACTATCAATATTTATTTCCTAAAATGACAATAGGTGTGTATGATCTCCCTTTTACCATCTGGTCCGGGCTTTGCATGTAATGTAGACAGCTATTTATACGAAGGCTACAGATGGTTTCGTTTTCCTAGCTTTCATCTTCCCAAAATAGTAACCTGTGGCGAATATAATTATTCGAAGGATACGTAAATACCGAGTGACATTGCGTAACACCTCAAATAAGTGTTATTGCCATTTGAATGTAGGGCAGTAGTGAATATCTTAACCAGTAGCCTGTCAATACAACTTTCTTTGTCGGACCTGTCTGTTTCGTATTTTTTTTTATAGACGCCCATCGAACGTTTTACTAATTGATTTATTAGGAAATCCACCTTTTGGCTTGGAGTATGCAGATCATAGTTCTTTTTGAGGAAGTTCCCTAGATTTGTTGAACAATGTAAAATGTTTAGGATACGTTACCCCCCTTGAAATCTCAAGTGGAGCATCATGAGTGGTTTTCGTCAATATCCGTTTTGGTCACAGAGTGAAATCAACCGGCACACATTGAAAATCATATCAGTCGTTCATCTGTCCGATTGACACTGAAAAAAGACTCGTTTGACTTCGGCCAATGTTTTCTAACTGTAACACAAACGAGATATTCATATCCACACCAGTCCGCTCCATAGTACACTGCATTTATGAAGATAGGTCGTCTTTGAAGCACTCATCATCAAATAAGTAATAGTGAGTTGAAATGTAAAACTTTAGGTTAGAAACGATAAGTCGGTTGACGTAGATATACAAGTTCATCAACCGAGATATCTGGGATGTGTTACGTATATTCACAGCCTACCCTGATATACAATCGTGGTTGGCATGTGTTGAAAGAAAACTAGCTAAATAAATACACCTAACCAGTTCATGAAGGCATCTACTGTTGGTCTCTGGCCGGATGAATATGTTCCGCATGTTTGCATTTATGTGTTGGCCATAGTCTATAATTGATGACAGCTTTCAATCACTTGCATTCGTGAATTTATGTTTACTAATTCTTAGGGTGAGAGTATAATTTATGGACGACCTTAGAGCGACACCAAAGAGACCTTGAGAGTGTTCAGCTAATAACCAGGACCAAATAAGGATTATAAACCAGTGTGAAAAATCAGGATTATGATTTACAGTTAATGATTAGGATTAGGAGTTACATTTAGGGTTTTCATCACGAACTGACATAAGCTAAAATGCCAAAACGCTATTTAGCCAAATGGATAGGTGAATTTCGCTCCAAAATCCGAGACCTGTTATCTTGTACTGGATTAGTTCGTCCATAGATTATAGTCTCGCCCTTAGTCTTGAAGTCAGTGTAATTCCGTACTTCTCATTCCTCTGGCTAGTTTATTATCTTTGAACTGGGTTCCTCATGTTTATCTCTGAATTGTATTCAACTTGATTTTTCTTATCGTGGTTCTTGTTAATTTCGTTTGCCATGCTATTGTATGGTGTTACAATTAAAATTGATACACATTGGTGTCAAGTTCTGCACTGAGTATGACTAATGGGAACTGCTACTATGATGTTGATCGAATTTGCCTCCAGACCTATTCGAGTTATATTTGCTGAAGTTTTTTGTGAATTAGTGCTATGTCAGACATGCCGGCAGAAGAGCGATAAAAAATCGGTAGACTTAATATACTAGGGTGAAATAATGATGATTGCACTAGGGCTAGATGTGTTAAGACGTTTCCAAAACGATTTACGACTCAGGTAAGTGTATTTAGTGATGGTGCATTCTTTAAACTGCCCCCAAATGCCCTGGTACGGCCGAGATTGGGGAGAGTCCGCTCTCCCTCTCGAAATGCTCTCACATGGCCATGCGTATATAGCCTCTGCCAGGGAAGTCCTACTCACTGCCTTCTCGTGGCGGGGGTGTTGTTAACAAAAATGAGAGGACGAAAAGCGAATGTCCGGCGCTTTAACCGGACCCCAAATCAAATCAATGGTGCACATGGGCTCCAGTATCCTGCGGGAACAAATGGCGTATGAACCAATCGTTGGTCACCGGCTACCATGGGACTGCATCTCCTCACGATGCTCCACTGCCTTGTGGGTCAGACGTCCAGGTCGAAGGCTCGGGGTGTGGCCCCCTAAGAAAACCACCTGCTTCGGTCTGGGCACCCAGGCAGTATCACAGCCCTCACACAAATCAAATGAGATTCGTGTGGCGCATATGTATTTGGTGCCTCCCTGTACCTATACTTATGTGTTAAAATAAATAAATAAATAATAATTCTTTAAACTGAGAATCAAAAGTAAACGTTTACCACGGTTAATTGGCGTCTCCAGCTAAGGAGTTTGGGAAAGGTCGACCCCTAATATTTCTATCCCATTTATCAGAGACACCCTATCTTAATCTTTTTCACATGTAACCAGTGCTAACCAAACTTCAAACTACCAGTGGGAGCTTTCAGTTTTCAAACTGTACTTAATTGAACATCAGGCTCTACGATAATCATATATCTCCGACCCAAGCGTGGTTATTAATTTTACGTCTAACTTCTGTAGACCCAGCGCTGCATACACTTCGAGTACTTGGAGACCTGACACCAGCTCCTCGTGGTAGTTTATTTTTTCCTCTTGAATTCCTAAAATATAATAGTTACTTTTGAACTAGACAGTTTGTCATACGGTATCTATACGAATAGAACCTAAGAATCCTTAAACACCAAGCTACATTGGTTCTTTGCAGTCTCTAAAATGGGGGAAATTTATAGTTCAGGTTCATGCTTTTGATAGTGTTGAGTTTTTCTGAGCTGGACAGATTAATTGAGGAGCTTTCATTATCATTTTGGACATCTTACGTGCCTACCTTACGTAGGTTTTTCAGTTATTTCACGAGTGTTATATTAATTCATTCTTATGGCTTTGTTTTTGATTGTCTGCCTACATAGATATAATTGTCGTCGTCTACTCTTGCATTTCGGTTTACTATCCTCGTCAGTCAACCCCTTCAGTTTGGGCTAATAGATTAGGTTTTATTTCGATATGTATATTGATTGTCCGAGTGACATGTTCTTAGAAATTCCTTCGGATTCTTAGGGTCCCCTCAATCTAGAATTATGACATTTCCCTATTCAAATTCATGACCTTGGTTATCTGCGTGCATTGGCATTAGTGATATATGTCACCTCATGGCTAGTCTGTGTCCATGTATACATAAGTGAAGGGGATGTCCACTTTGTGTAATGTAATATTTCTCGTAACTAGTGTGATTTATTTTGTAGATGATTTTAGGCTTATCTTTGTCTTTTGGTCTGTGTAGAATGGAATGAAGTGATTGTGTTAGTTTGTGAGTGACGTTGATTCGAGGCGCTCCAATTCTTTTATGATAGTTTCTGAGATATTTTTCATATGATAAGACGATCTGTTTTCGGGCTTGGTTTTCTCTGACGGTATGCTGATTCACATAAATGTACATATATTTGTTCTGATGAATAAATCAATAATGAGACGTCAAATTAACAGTTGTTCGCATCAGATCGCAGATCGTTGAAGAGATTTTATCCTGAACAAGTAGTCGGGATAATATACAATTGTGCCCCATAGACTCAAAGGATAATCAACGGAGATCTGTGACTGTATTTAGGGAAACGTAGACACTATCTCTTAGTTGTTTGTAATGCAACAGCTGTTTTGGATAGACTAAAGTCGGTTGTATTTGTGACCTTTAAAATTTGAGTATAAACTACTTAAGATAGTAGATTTTAGGGTGAAGAAAGGGGAACAACAGAACTTAAAACTCAGTTTCAGTGATCCATAAACTCAATGCGACTAGCCTTAGTTCATGTTTGTACGTGACTTTCCTGAAAGCCGACTCTGGACAAAAATAGGTCGTGGTCAGCACAGAGCCGTAAGAAGCGGCAGTGGATATCTGACCTGGAACTATCAAGTCAATATTGTACACTCAGTCTTCTCTTCTATGTTCCTAGATACTAGGACTGAGCACCCAAGTTCTCACCTAGAACCACGATACCTGTCAAACAGACTTGGAGGCGAAATTCTTCTTTGATAGTATTCGGGCTCCAATCTAGCGATATATTAACACATCGTTTCCCACACCTGTTTCTCCCCAT